TCGTGAAGTAAAATATTAGGACGTTTATCCCAACAATGATAATAAGGTTCCAGCTTGTTTGATCTTATCTAGAGTTTAGATTTGGAACACAATTGTTAGGAAATTGAGTTAGATAAGGTTGTTTTATGGTGTAAATGATTATTTAAAAACACTTTACATTTTCCCTTCCTCAAATGACTAGAAATTCTTATTCTTATTCTCGGAGGCAAAGTGATAAACTCATTTTAATTAATGATATAATAATGATTGTAAGTTATCCATAACCAGCCTTCTTTTATGCTTTACTTGCTCAGTCCCTCTTTTATAACTTATAATAAGTACACTCTAATTTGTTGTTATGTGACAAGCAATTCACTAACGAATATACACTTTTGATTATTGATGACAATTTGAATTCAAATAAATCCATCCACAAAAGAAGTGAGTTGATGAAGATTAGACAAATACTTACGCTTTACATAACTCTGTGCTCTACTTAACTTTTACGAAATAAAGTGAGTTGATACAGAGATGAGGTGAATATATGCATGATTCGTAGACATACATTTTCGGTGTTGTTAGTCGTGCTTCGTAGGATTAAAAACAAAGAGGACTACACATTGGGATGTAACAACAATCCAACGTGTGAATCCTCTTAGTACTGAATTGAAACGCGACACAAATATGTCATGGATTCTTATTATGCACAAGGCCTGATGATGGCGACATTATTGATAAAATACCTCAATCGATGTGATTGAAAGAATTAGCAAATCATGGGACTTATACAGGCGACATACGATCTCCAAATTACCGAGTCTGAGAATCTTGTTGAGAAATAAGAATATGGTGGAAAGCTTTGTGTATTATTATTGAAACCACATAGGGTTTATATACAGTACAGAGATTGAATTCTACAATAATCTTAACACTAATACGGAAATACCTAATTTCTACGACTCTGATGAGAAATATAACTCTGTCCAATTACATACCAGTACTCGTAGTATATCACAATACTACTCGTACTACACATACTCCTATTTAAATAAATCCATCTAGATTTCTTATACACAAACCAATGAACCATCTCATTCTAACCGATCCATCTATAGCATTTCTATCTCTCCTCCTTCTTTCTATATTCTCACTTTCTCGCATTAATTCATTGGGTAATATCTATTTTTTATCCAAACATTTCCTAGATTTTTTTATATTATCCAAACCTATTAAAATGCTATTAATAAGCCAAATTCTTTTTAATGCATCAAAATATTAGCCCTTTTTACATTATCATTAATAATTTTGTAACTCTTTTCTTAATTCAAATACTAAAATTTTGGAATGTTGACTTTCATGTGTCTCTTCCAAGTCTGTATCATGTTGCCAAGTCAATATTACTAACAAAATTGCTGACTGAAAGTTAACATTTGGCTAATTCTTAATATTTCGATAGGTTTGACTAGTAAAAAAGAAGCCGAAAAAGGGTTTGGACAATAAATAGACATTACCCTAATTCTTTTCTAGACCAAACCTTAGTGGTATGTTAACTCATAGATGCCAAAAATATATCATTCATCATGTTCTCAGCCAATTCAATTTGTTCTCCCTGTTTGATTCATTTCGAGCAAACTCAAAACCAAACCGAACCCACCTTAAAACACTTTCGACCACAGAAGGAAGTTCAAAAGGAACTATATATAAATGTCAACCCGATTTTGGGATTGCAAAACCTAACAAGTCTGCCACCCTGGTTTTTTCTTTTTTTTTCTTTTTCTTTCCGAACACAGAAAACGGTTGAAGGGGAGTCGTTGATTTTGGGGATAGGGTGGGTGGGTGTTGGAACTACTAGTAGTAGGAGTTGAAAGAAAGCGAAACGCTGCTTCACTTACAGCTGTAAACTGAGAGGGAGGGTAAGCAAATGAAGAAGAGTGTGAGTGAGTTAGGGACTAGACAGCGGGCGGGAGAAAAGGATCAAAAGCAGTCAAAAAGGGTTGATTTCGGTTTCGGGAAAAAAAAGAGATGTACTATTTGTCGCCCTAAAATTTTAAATTTATCGCCCTAACCTCAAGCGAAATTACACTATTGCCCTACTTCTTAACTTTGTTGAATCGCCCTACTTTTGTTTCTGTTGCGATCGGGTACCATTTTTCTGGGTTTCCTAAGAGACGGGAAGAAGCCATAGCTGCCGGCAGACAGAAGAAGCCGTCGTCGGCAGACAGAAGAAGCAGCCGCCGACCAATCGTCAGACGTGCGGCCTGCCCGTCCTGGCTCGTAGTCAAGCAGGTCGTTGACGTGTCCGAAACCCTCACCGCACGTGTGCTTAGCCCGCCTATACTACTTTCAACCCATCCCCGACGACGATCGGACATGTAAAGAACCCATCCCAACCTCGCCGGAAACGGGTTTTCAACAACTCCAACGGGTAAAATGCTGAAAAAATCACGGTCGGATAATTCCAGCCCGGAGGTGAGCGACGCCAAAGGTTGGCGACGAAGGTCGTGGAGGTGGGCGGCTGGATCCCTTCCTCCCCTCAAGCTAGGCACCGCAGAGTCCCTTCTTCCTCAATGTGGAAGTGGATTGGCATAATATTTTTGGGATATGGATTGGCCGGAGAAACAAGGAGGTAGGCGGTTGGAGTTGGGTTTGGGCGTTTGGGGTGCCGGGTGTGATTCTCGATTAGGGTATTTTTTGTTACGAGTTAATGCTAGGGGTAAAAAGGTCCGTTTGGTATAGTGTAAGGCGGAAATTTTAAAAACTTAGGGCGTCAAATAGGAAACCAGAAAAAAAAAGGGAAAACGTTGTTGTTACTCAGCTAAGCTCTGCCTTTTCTGTTCATGCTTTTCTTTCCATCATAAACCGCCAAAAAACGCTCTCTATCTACTACTTTGAAGTCTCTAGTCATATGCGAGTAGAGGTGGCAAATGGATTGGATTGGTGGATTGGATTGGTGGATCTATGAATCAAATGGATTGGATCTAATGGATTGGTGGATTCATGGATTGGATCAAGTGGATTGGTGGATTATCCATGAATCCAAATGACATCCTCAACCAAGGACCAATATGTAAAATGTAAAAAGTTTAGGTACTAAAATGTCACAATGAAAAATTTTAGGTACCAAAACGTAATTTTTCAATGATATTTTTCGTATAAAAAATTAAATTTTAGGTACCAAAATGTAAAAAATAAAAATTATAGGTACTAAACCGTAATTTGCCAATGATCCATGGATCCAATCCATGAATCCACCAATCCAATTGGATTTGGATCAAATGGATTGGATTTAAATGGATTGGATTAGGTGGATATTTTTAATGGATTGATGGATTGGATTGGTGAATTGGATTGAAATTGCCACCTCTATATGCGAGTGAGTGAGTGAGTGATCGAGGGATAGCGGCAATTTAATCGAAAAGTGTTTAGAATCAATCTACAAAATGATGGTGGTACGTACTGCAGTCACACCTATGCATCGGAGTCGTACGAATATTGCAGGTTTGGACACTGAATTAAGAGATGAGTTTTGTAAAGATAATTCCATAAATTCGATTAATCCTTTTGTTGGTTATTTTTCCTTATTCTAACTCTATCTTTTGAAAGGACGAATTGAGAAAGATGCATCCCACTTTTACCTGCGTTGAGACGATGTGTCGTTCCATCTAAATTAGTTCTTTTATTATTATTTATTGATAATTTACTCGTGTCCATCCCAATTCATTAATATGTTAATTAGGATACCAATTTTTTGCAATTTGTATAACCAGTTTTCGAAAAACAACCCAAAGAAAGGAAGGATATTGTCACCATACTACAATGACTCTTTTTGTCTATTTGCCCATGTTGTAAGTGGTAACTTGTTTAATCACCAAAAGGAAACCAATTCCACAGGCAGAGGAGGACTGAGGAGAACTTTGATTGTTCAAAATGGTAAGCTTGCCTGCCTCCCCCAAATTTGGTCAAAATGACAGGTAATGCAAAACAGAATCAAAACTGCAGGCATACAAAATCCCCCCTCCAGACCTAATAGAATCATTATTCCCAAAAACCCATACATAAACTAACTGAAAGAAAGAAAGGAAAACTGACAGTCCCAGTTTCTTCACCCCCTACCAACTTTACACAGACCCACCTTCCTGGAAGTACCCTTTCCCCCTTCTAACGTTCATGCACCTAGGGTTGTGCAATGGTTCGGGCCGAATCGGACCAAACTTATGAGAATGACAGTTCAAATGTCAATACCCGATTTGATTTAGTGCAATCCGACTCATTTGTTTGGTCCAATACAGTCCGATATGGACCAAACAGCTGCACACAGCGGCGGATCTAGGGGGGGAGGGGGGGGGGGGGCGCCCCCAGGCCGCGGCCCAGCCCTCCCTCGATCCAGAGCTAGTATAGCACGTGTAAATTTTCGATTTTTGGTGTTCGTTTAGGTGTTTGTTTCAGTGTTCGTCGTGTTACGGCCCAGCCTTCTCTGCTTTTTTCCAATGTGGCCCAGTGCTCTACCCAATCTTGGATCCGCCGCTGGCTGCACACCCTCTACATGCACCTCCAGGTAGGTGCAGACATTGGTCAGGTCCAGGACCATATCGAATTGACGTAGAACATACCAAAAACAAACGAAAAATGAGTAGAAGAACTAAACCAAAAACATGTTTGGTTCATTTGATTCGATTCAATCTGGTGCAAATTCAATCATCGTCCTTTTTTTTTGTTTACTTAAAAATCAAAATATGTTCGATCTGATTCGATTCAAATATCTAATCGGTATAATTCATTTCCGGTATGAAGGAGATTGTTGCCCACATCACACCCCCAAGGCCCTTCTCCCAATTAAATTAAATTAAATTAAATTTCATTAATGAATCTTCCTTGTCCCTCCACCTTTCCCTTTTATATATAACCCCCGCACGGGCCTCCCTTTCTCCCCCAAATCGAATTCCCTTCCCCAAACCCAAACATCCAAACTCTCTGCTTCTCTTCGCCACTCTATCTCTTCTTCTTCTTCAACCATGGAGCCAATGAACACCAACCTCTGCTCCACATCCTCCACCACATCAGATTCCTGCTCATCCGACTCCTCCTCCGGCGGCCGATCCGGCCGCCCCGGGTCAACCCGGATCAAGGGCCCATGGAGCGCGGAGGAGGACCGGGTCCTGACCCGGCTCGTCGACCGCCACGGCGCCAGGAACTGGTCCCTCATCAGCCGCCACATCGACGGCCGATCGGGAAAATCCTGCCGCCTGCGGTGGTGTAATCAGCTCAGCCCCACCGTCCAGCACCGCCCCTTCTCCCCGGAGGAAGATCAAACCATCCTCGCCGCCCACGCACGGTATGGAAATCGCTGGGCCACCATTGCCCGGCTGCTCCCCGGCCGGACCGACAATGCCGTCAAGAACCACTGGAATTCCACTCTCAAGCGCCGCGCCGCCAGCAGAGGAGCCGGGGCTTCCGGGGAGGGGATTTTTCATCAGCGGGCGGCGTCGGACGGGAATTACAATCAGGAGTATTGTTGGAATTACGGCGATGCGGAGATGGCGGGGCCGCCGGCGGCGGTAAAGGAGGAGGAGGAAGAGGAGGCGTTGACCGCGCTGACTTTGGCGCCGCCCGGGATGGGGAGCGGCGGCGGCGGGGAACAGGGGATGGTGATGGGCAATGCGGTGGTGGAGGAGAGGAGGGCGGAGAGCTTGCCGGCTGGGTTTTGGGACGTGATGAGGAACGTGATTGCGAAGGAGGTGAGGGAGTATGTGAATTCTACGGTGACGGACAGCCCGACGTCCGCCGCCGCCGCCGCTAGTTTTTTCCGTTGAAAAAGTATTTACCGAATTTGGGAGCGAGCTGGCCGGCCGGTTGCGCTGCAAATTTCCGAACTGTTAATATCGTGAATTTTTTATTATTATTATTAGGATTTGTAATTCGAGATTGCGGTGGGAGCGGCGGCCGGCGTAATCAATGTAATTGTAAAAGACCGATGAGTGCTGCTGCCGCCGAAACTCAAAGGCAATTGGTGAAGTTTGTGAAAGAGAAACAAAAAAGTTGGTCTTTAATGTGACAGCCTGTCCATTTCCTAATTAATTAATTAATTGCCCCCCCCCGGATTTAATTAATTTGGTTCACGTTTTTTTCTTCTTCCTTTTGGCCTTCCTTTCTACTTTCTGGTCTTCAACTTGTGGATGAACGGCTTTCATTTGTTTGCCTTATTTGGACACATACAATGTGGGATGTCAACCTGGTTTGTATGTGATAGTTCCTGGCTATCCAAGCTACTTCTGGAATCTATATCGTTGAATTCAAGGTTTCTATAAGCTAATCAATTGATAAATAACCTCTTTCTTTGTGTTCTCAATCTTATAAATTTGTAGTGTACTTGAGAATTTAGAAATGTACAGCTTTTTTTTTTGGGTAAGAAATCTACACCTTCAACCTTGAAACTTATTTCATGAACCTTGCTTTGCAGTTTGCATAGCTCAACTTATTCATTGGGGTCAGAAAAGCCTACGACAATGGACACAACACTTTTCTTCATGAAATTCTTGAAACCGTCACATATTGGTTATCTTTCATGCTTCGAATTTCTAACTTAATGCCTTTTTCCAGTGTTAATATTCGATATTAGTCGCAATAACAAATTCGTTACTCATCTAGTCAGCTTAAGTTTGTTGGGGTAAGTGTGATAAAGAGCATGAAAGTTGGCTCGGAAACAAGTACAAGACTTCTTCCTTGTGTAGTGTACCATTTGGTTTCTCTCTCTCTCTCTCTCTCTCTCTCTCTCTCTCTTATTGGTCGTGAAAGATTTCTCTAACGAGTTGTGGGTAAGACATGTTATATATAAAACGTTACGTTGAATTGGAACTCAATTCAGAGTACAAGACATTTTCCTCATGTACTATATCATTTTGTCTTTCTTGTGACTCATGACAAATTATCAATGATTCAATATCTCTTTATTTTTTATCACGACAATTCGACATCTTGATAAAAATTTGTCTAATTCTTTTCATCATTTACTTCCCCCAATTCCCGTCTTCTGTGTCTTCTCCCTCCACATGAATGATGAATCACTCACACTATACCCATGTATGCCTGCATCGAACAAAGCTCATAGTCACTCTAAAACCATTGAATACAAACGAACGTTGTAGCAGAGTCGCAAACATTAACATCTACATCATAACTATATTTTGTTGTTCACATAAGGTTTACATATTATCATTAACACTAAATACTTTGTATACAAGCATTGTCCATTTTAAATTCTATATCATTAAATATAAAGCTAAACAGGTTTTACTATCCACTAAGACATGACACTTTAATTTGGGCTTTTTTTGGGGTTTTGGCTTTTGTACAGTTGGTTAATTTTTTTTGTTTTTTTGGAAATCTTTCTAAATCAAATACTTTTATATTATTTTTTCATTATTGCGTTTTGTTGATAAGAGCCGAAAGTAAATGTCGTCTTACCATCACTCAATTGAAGAGAAAAAGAGATTTGACCATTTTGTTATTGGGTAGGAGTTTTTACTTAGAAAAATATTTATTTTGTCCATTTGAAAAATAAATAACAATTTTTTGAAAAACAATTATATTGGGTGACGTAGCACCATAGTTAGTAGAATATGATACATGTACTTTCCAACAATGATAAGTATGAAATTTTGGATGTCATTTTAACATAACAGTATGTTTAAAAGTTTGATATTATTTATAAAATACTAGAAATTAACAAATAAATGGGTTAAAAATATAAAATCAATATATTATCAATTCAACTCCATATAATAGGTGTATTGAGCATTTTCTATGTGCCGAATAAGTGAAACGTTAAATAAAATTGGTTGTTGGCAATGAAGGTCAACCAAAAATTTGGTAAAATCTTATCCGCAATTTTTTTTTTATTTCAAAGTTTGGTTCCAAAATCATATTTTTAGCAAATTTTATCGAAAATTAATTATTAATAGAAATAACCAACGAAAATAAATACTCGATCCAACTACCCATAAACTAAAGTTATAAATTTGCTAATAGCAGCTAGGGCTGGGAAACGGTGCGGTCTGGTCCAGACCAGACCATATATACGGTCTACGGTCCAGACCGAGAGGCTAAAGTATAGACCACAGACCAGACCACAGACTATACGGTCTGGTCCAGACCACGCCTGTGCGGTCTGGTCCAGATAGACCACACTCAACAAAAAATGAATAATTTGTTTAGTCAACCACACAAAAAATTGAACCAATAACCAAGAAAAATAATTGTTATTTGCCTTAAAACATTAATCCTAACATGCATGAATAATTTTGATACTCTAAATCTTAGTACATAACAAAGATACAAAGTAAAAGCATCCCAGCTTCCACCATAATGTCATAAACATTAACATAATGTCATATGGAGACACGATTATCTCTACTCTGTGGTTAAATGTGGTTGTGAATGAAGGAGGGAAGAGATTCACAAAATTAAGGTTGAGACTTGGGTGTCGTTGTGGGAGTTTGGAGAGTGGTCGAATGGGTTATTAACACGTATTGACAAGTCAGTTGGGTCTACGATTTGGTCCGGTAAACCGCGGTCTAGACCAGACCAGACCAAGAGATCAAATCATAAAATAATACAGACCATGGACCAGACCAGACCATACTTCACGATCTACGATCCGGACCAAACTGTGCGGTATGGTTTGGACCACGGTTTTTCTAACGGTCTGGTCTATTTTCCCGCCCTAATAGCAGCAAAGCGCGATAATCGTATCTAGTTAATTATTAAACCTATACATACAAACCAAACTAAGGGGGGACGAGGATTGAGGATCTCCAAAATCTTGATATCTGACAAAAATATAATTGCCGAATTGGGCCAAGTACAGTTGAAAAATGGGCCAAGTGTAATGAATGACATTCAATGGATTGGGATGATATATAGGCATGGAGAAGAGGAATGAGTTTTATCTTCTATAATCCTCGTCGACCAAGTACTAAAATAAACTACAACATCATCATGTATGTGTAAGTCAATGTCAAATGGGATATGGGACCTGTCGTACCAGTGTACTGACAATGTACCCTCCTTGTTTGCGCAATAAATCAACATAAATCTCTTTATTGAGCTTCTTAAGTCGTAACTTAATCTGCCTTAACTTGTCATACCGCCTATATTGAGGATACTGTGTCACTTGTGTGCTCCAAGGTTATTTAATTAAGTGAAGCATTTGAAGGGTGGTGTGTCCAGTTGTTGAAGTATTTAAACGGCCTAGGTAATAATGTGTCAACATGGGGTAATTTGCAGTAAGAGTCCACAATAGTCAGACACTCCTAGAGGAGAAGTATGTGATGTACGTACTTCGAGGAAACACATCCATCCATTTTTCATTAATAAGGATACTACTCAATCTTTCTGTAATGTGGTAGCTTTCTGTTTGTTCCACCAAGTAAACCAGGAACATGAAACCTTGTGAGCAACGAGTTGTAACTTCTCAATCCAATGGAACAAAGTGAATCAGGAACATGAAACATTGTGAGCAACGAGTTGTAACTTCTCAATCCAATCACGAAAGTCGTCTTTCATACTCTGAGAAATACTTACTACTACTTTTTAAAGCTTCCTGTACCTCATCAATTGCATTAAAGTTCCCTATATATATATGACAACCTTGAGAATATGAATAACTTAACAATCTGTTGACACCTAAAATTAATTTGGCCGGGATTAAATGCCGCATTAATTAGTCTCGGCATTTAATTCGATACCGCGGGTTAAAAAACGGTATCGTTTGGAGTTAAAACGGTACCGCAAGGGAGCTCACCGGTACCGCGGCACTGGAAACGGCACCGCTTGCCGAAAATAAAAACAAGGGCCGCGCGTTTAATGGGGTTGGAGGAGGAGTTTTGATTATTTAATTTTTATTTCTTGTGAGAAGCGGCACCGCGGAGAGTTAAAACGGTATCGCAATGAAGCTTAGCGGTGCCGCGGCATTGGAAACGGTACCGAAAAACAAAAGGGGGCCGCGCTTGTGGTATCTTGTTGGAAAAGGAGTTTTTTTTTCTTCTCAAATTAATTATTATCTTTATTCCTTGTCGGAAGGGGAAAATCGGTACCGCATGGAGACAAGCGGTATCGCGGAGAGTTAAAACGGTACCGCGGATTTAAAAACGGTGCCGCGAGAGCCTGATAGGCGGTACCGATTAATTAAAAATCATATCGGGCAAGTGACCAAAATTCACCCGGCCCAATGCGAGCGCCCACTGCGCCGCGTTCCATGGATTAGTATTTTTTGGCTATATCGGCGGTGTCGTTTAATTCAAAACGGTACCGCGAGTAAGCCCAACGGTACCGCGGATTAGCAAACGACAGTGTTTAAATAAGAAACAATGTCGTAAAAGGGAAAAACAAACGGAGTTGTTGTGGCGCAGGTGATGTCGTTGGCCATAACTAGTGATGACCGGATTAATTAACTAATATTGTTAATGATTATTTAGGACGGTGTCGTTTAGTTGAAAACGATGCCGCAAGAGGAAAGAAACGACGCCGTGGAATTAAAAACGGTACCGCGAGGAAGCCCAACGGTACCGCTATACTAGCAAACGACAGTGTTTAATAATAAACAGTGTCGCGGAAGAAAAAAAACAAACGGAGCTGGTTGGGAAAGAAAACGACACCGCAATGATGGAAGCGGAGTCGTTTAATATTAAAACGATGTCGCGGGTAGAATCAAGCGGAGCTGTTTGGGAAAGGAAACGACATCGCGGGATCATGAAAACAACTCACGTAAAGTTCACGCGAAGCAGTTTGAGGAGCGAAGCGGTTGAGACACGTG